TCGCCGCCCCTCTAAGCAACTTCCACCATAGTTGTTGGCTTCCTCACCATCTCCCCTGGTGAGAATGCCAGCTCCAGGAGGGCAGGGGCTTGGTTCTGCTGACCCCCGGGTCCCCAGGCCCTAGAACAGTGCCCAGTACAAGATGGTGCTCAACATGTATGCATGAATAAAGGAATGAATACACAAACTCCAGCACATGCCAATGGTGAAAAGTTAAGCCCAGGAGAAAGCTTACAGTTTGTGCGTGGGAGTAGTCAAGATTCACTCTAAAGCTCTCTGATTCCCGAGCCCAAACCCTCCACCCTATACACACCACCCACACACAGGCGTGCACGTACACACTCACTGCCACGGGTCTGTGAGCATCCTAAGCCTGATCCGCTCTGGGCTCAGCAGGGATTAGCTGTCTATAGAGGCCTGTAATGGACACTCTGGGGACAGGGGCTGGGAAATGGGGCCATGCAGGAAGAGGGTGTCCCATGTGGGTTCAAGGTGCTGCTCTGCACAGAGCTGGCATTCAACAAGCACTTGCTATGCCCCAAGTACCCATCTAGGGCTTTATGCTCCATGACACATGTCTGAAGAGGAACTGTTCTTATCCCCTATTTGATACATGAAGAAATGGGGCTCAGGAAGGGTCCCTGCAGCACGTCAGGGAAACCCAGAGCCCATGCACACTCTGCTGTTCCTTACAGAGATAGGAGGGCAGAGGGCCTACCTCCAAGGGTAGGACTCAGGGATTCCAGAACCTCAGGGACAGTCACGCAGCTTGTAAGGAACCAGCTGGGCCAGCCACTGAGTCCAGAGGCCAGGACCTAGTGAGATGCCAGTGAGAAGGGAGCCCCGATATGGTGATCGTGACAAAGGGGTGGAGAGTTCAAGCCTCAGCTTCTCTGAGAATCCTTGGGATCCATAGATTTTCCTGGCCTTCACAATGTCATGAAATCTGGAGGGAATCTACCACCCAGGCACCTCTTCTCCACAGAGCTGGCATCCTCAATATCCTCACCCCCTCTCCACACCTTGGGCCATGCCTGCGCCTTCTGGAACGCCTTCTCCTTCCCCATGCCCCATGCAGCCTAGTGACCTCCCTTTCTCTGTCTCCCTGGACAAGTAGCCTGTGCCTAGCTTGGTCCCTGCATGAGCCAGAAGACTGCACTCAGGCCATCCAGGCCCCAAGGGGGATTGGGGAAGTCTGGAAGCCATGATTCCAACCTCCCACGCCACATGTCTTTACCGAATACCCAAGAGCCCCCACATACCCTGGCCCACCCACAGAAGATGCCCAGCTCAGAAGCCTCCCATCCAGGGTGAGATGAACTACCTACATAAGTAGCTTCTGTCCAGGGGAAGCTGAGACTGCAGAGATACAGGAAGAGCCTGCGCAAGTTCAGAGGGAAGAGACCCAGGGCAGGGAGGTGCAGACAGAGACAGAGAAAACGATAAGACAGCAGCGGTCAGGGAAGAACCTCAGACATTCAGGGTCAGAAGGACAGAGAGGGGCCCCAAGATGGACAGAGATGGGAATATGGGTGGGGGGGGCAGCTTTGTGCTAGGGCCTGGGAAGGGGGTGGGACGCCTGCAAAGTCAGTGGCCAAGGTGAGGAGCCCAGGGCCTCCTGGTGCCATCACTGAGGGCCTGGATGACTTGGGCAGGCAGCTGGGCCTGCCTATGCTCCCAGCATCCTTTCTGTTACAGGGGCCATGCACCCACTCTCAGGTGTAACATGGTTGCCTCTAAAGTTGCTGCAAAGATAAGGCTTGGTATACAGCCTGGCTCCTCCGGAGCAGGCGAAGGTGGCTACTGCGTGGAGACCTTGACCACACAGCTGAGCATAGCGCAATTCGTGGCCACGCATCAAGGCCTGAGGACTCACCACCACTGCCCCTTCCTTTAGCGAGCCTCTTAGTACGCCAGCACTGTGCTGCGCACTGACAACCCTGGGCCCTCCCTTCTCCCTGCTAGCCCTCCCCACTATCCAGCCTGCACCCCCTTCAGCATGCGGGAGGGAGGGTCAGCGTGCACACTCCCACCCTGCCAGAGTGTTCCTCCTGTGCTCACTGTCAGCCCAGTGTGGCCAGAGCAAGGACAGCTCCAACAGGCCCACTCCACGAGGACTCCCAAGCCGTGGGCCTTCGGGGGCCAGCACACCAGATCCCCGGCCCCTCAGCTGTCCTTCTCCCCAGCCGTCCCATCCCCCGAGGGGCCCAGTCTGCCAACCTCTAATCCTGTCCGTCATCTGACCCAGGCTCCACCCTACATTGGCTTTGCCTAGCCACCCTTCTGAGGCCCAAAAATGGACACAGTCATTTATAGAGGGTTCGACAAGCCAAACGCAATGGGAAGATGACCTCACGGCACCCACAGGCTCGAGCTCCCAGCACGCACAGTGCCCCCCAGGCATTCCGGGGGCAGTGGCCGAGGGGCCCGGGCAGTAGCACCATGCTGGCAGGCCCGGGCAACTTTTCCAATTTATTCTTATCCCCTCCTCACACCAGGGCCATGGGCCATGGGCCTTCAAGAAAAAGCTCCAGGCAGGTCAGAAACACATGCACCTTGCCTGAGACAGCACTGGGGGCTCAGCCCAGGACAAGGCACTGGCTGGTGTGCAGGCAGGATTTGATGAATGAGTAAAGGCAGAGAACAAACAACACAAATCAATCCACCCGTCAGCCTGTGTCCAGCCCAAAGCCCTTGTTCAAAAACATTCACTAGCACCAACTGGGGCCAGGGAAACTGGAATTGCCCCTATACCCACTGATTTCACCAAGGCAAGGTAGGTGTAGTGTGGGCTGCCTGTAAGAGACTAGGATTCCAGTTTCATTGACAGTGGGGATTAGATGAGGCACTGATCACCACCAGAAGACACTGAGGATGGTCCCCCGGCGATGGCACAGACTCTAAAGGAAAGCACACAGGAGAGGCTGTTGTGGGTTAAGGGTTAGGGCTTCGTGAGAGCAGGGCCTGCAGCCCAAAGGGAGGGGAAGGCTACTTTCAGAGACCTAGCCTGGATGCCTATCTTGGTGGTCATGCTGCCTTGGCTTCTGACTAGGGGAAGGGTCCCTAACTAGCCTCCAGCAGGCAGAGAGCAGCTATAACACTAAGAATTCTAGTCCCAGGAAGCTCAGCATGAGCAAGGCCAGCTGTTGGCCAAGACCAGCATGCATAGCTGACCAGCTGTCAGCCAACTGCCAGTGGCCACAGAACAGGGGCTCAAGAGACAGGGGTGGTAGCTCAGGGGGTCAGTGATACATCACCACCTCCTTGGAGGGACAGAGTCCATGACTACTGCCCCAAGAATGACATCAAAGATGCTGCTGCGGAGAAAAGACAACCAGGGCAAAGGGGACACACCAAGAGCCTTGGGGAGCCAGGAAGGAGTGGGACACCAGTGGGATGGGGGCAGGGAATGAATCTCAGCTAACCTCGATTCCCATTCATCTCCCCCGCCCTTTAGGGAAGGAAGCAGGCTCTGGCCCAGGGCTGCCTGCTCCAGCCACCCAGATGGATTACCCAGTCATGGCAGCCCGGAGCAAGGGTGGCTGCATCTGTGTTGTCCCCAACCCCCACCCCACAACCTGAAGTCTTCCCAGGCCCCAGCCGGCTATTCCTGGGGCTTTAATCCCTCCCCCCCCCCTCCTCCTCCTCCTCTTCCCCACCCTGGGGTGGGGGATCTGGGAGCTGGGTCTGGGCAAATCTGGAGCTTGGCTGAGGGCCCCTTCCTTCAATACACACCCACCCACCTCCTTAGCCAGGAAGCACAGGGATGAGCAGTAGGACTCTTGGGGAGGTATGGGGAAGCTCTGGGCACTCCCATCTCCCCACTCTTCCAGCAATCACGCGGCTGCATCCTTAGGGAGCCCACGGATCTCAGAAGCAAAAGGCATTGTTTATAAACAGCCACAAGGCCTGGCAGGGGAAGGCTGTCTTGTCCCTGCGTCTCCACCCGGTGGCCGCACGGCGGGTGGGAGAGGGGGCAGCCCTGGCCATGGGGCACTGGGGGGCCACCCTGGCAGAAACAGATTCTGCAATCTCAGATTTCAGAGTCGGAGTCAGCAGGGGAAGTGGCGTCAGCAGCTGGCGTGATCCAATTCAATAAACCAGAGGTGGCTTGGGATAGTGAGCTGACCGGGTGCAGACCCCCACCCCTCAATCCCTGCATTTCCCGCACGGTCTGGGCACCCTGGGAGGCTCCAGCTCCATCCCCCACTCCAGCTCTCCGGTGAGGAGGGGTCGCATTTTCTGCGGCGCCTTCCACGCCCCTCCTCCGGGCCAGCTCCCCACCCGGCCGTGGGCTCCCAAAACCAGTGCCCTCCCCGACCACCCCCCTCCCCGGCCGCCGGAAACGCTAAGCCCCCGCTGGGGCGAGGGCACCTCCTCGCCGGGTGCGCAAGCTCCCGGTGGGGCCGGCCTGAGCTAGAGCTTCCAGGCCGCAGGCACCTCTCAGGAAAGGAAACCCAATCCCTCCTTCGGCCCGCGGAGAACGAAAGTGGAGAAGCAGTGGGAAGGAGCGAACTGCGGATGCCGACTGGAGAAGCAGCCTCGGGAGTCCGGGGGAATGGTGGCCCCGGGGGCAGAGGGACAGACTCCCTCTCGCCCTGAGCTCCGGCCCCGCCTGGGTTGCCTGCATGGGCCTGGAGAGCTGGGGGTCACCCGCTGGCCTCCCAGCCTCCCGGCCCTTGGCCTCCAAATCGGGTTAGCCTGGAGCGCGCGCCTGAGTAGAGCCTGGAGCAGGGCCGGCCACTGCTGTGCAGCCGGAGCCACGAAGGTGCAAAGCGGGGCCCTGTCCTGCCCCGGCTGGGGATGGGGAGACAGAGGACGCAAACCGAAAAGGGCGCCCAGAGCGCCGGGGGACGCAGCCAGGGGACCCCGAAGCCTCTGGAAAGCGCTCCTCCGGAGGTGACAGCGCCAGATTCCGGCGGAGGACCAGGCCCCGGGGCCGGAGTGTAAGGGGACAGGTGGCCCGGACCGCGCGGCCGCTGGAGCTCCGGCTCGCTCACCTTCTCCTGCGCGCGGGTGAGCTTCTTCTGCACGTTGCTGGCTATCTTTCCCGCCGTCACCCCTTTACTGCCCATCTCTGCCATCGCGGCGCAGGCCTCGCCCGGTGGCGGGGGCCGATCTCGCTCGGGGAGGCCTTGAGCGCCGCGCTCCCAGCCCCCAGCCCCGGCAGCGCGTCCAGCCCGGCTGCCGCTCCACGCCGCGCACCCGACAGCGGAGCCAACTGACGGAGGCGGAGCGTGCGCCGGGCGGGCGGGCGAGCGAGCAAGCGAGCGAGCCAGCGACGCTGGGACAGAGGGAGGGAGAGGGGAGGGGCCGGGCCTAGGGCAGCTGTCGGCGCCCCCCGCCCGCCCCCTCCCGACAAGACACTGCCTTTTTAAAGGGCCACTCCGGGCGCCGGCACCGCCAGGTCCGCGAGGAGGGAGGGGCGCGCGCGGCGCTGGGGCTGCGGCGAGCGGGACTCCCCTGACGCTCGGGCGACACCGCCCCGAGGCGGGGACTAATCCACCGGCCTGGAGCCTGGGTCTTCCCCACAGCAGTAACCTCCTGCAACCCAGGAAGGGAGACTAGGTGGAGGAGAGGAGCGCTTTCGAAATCAAAGAGAAAGCAGCGAAGGGTGTGCGGCCCTGAACAGAGGAGCCGCGGCTGCGGGCTGAGCGCGCCCGGAGCCCCTTCCCTTTCCCGGGGCTCACCTCCCGCCCGGCGCCCGGCGCCCGGCGCTCCGCCTCCTCCCGGCCTTCGCCGCACGGGTTTTCGCCAGGGTCCCCTAGGCGCCTCCGGGACATCTCCACATCTCTGCCTCCCGCGCCTAGTCCAATACCAACCAGGCGCTTGGTCTTCCCGTTCGCTGAAAATTTATTATAATAACAGCCTAGCATTACGGAGTGCTTTCTGTGTACTGAGTTACCTGACAGGGATTATCTCATTCCGTCTCCGTGGCCCTAGAGGTAGGTGCTATTACAGTTCCCACTTTACAAAAAAGGCGCTGGGATCAGGGAAAGAGATCTCTACGTCTATCTCCCAGGCGCTTCACCACTATACGCTGAGTTGTCCCCTGTACCCCGCAGGAAGGAAAATGATTAATGAGAATTATCCCTGGAAAAAATAAGGTTATTGCTAACAAGCTTTGCCAACAGACCAATGACACTTCTTTTAAGTTAATAAATACGTGTTGAGTCTGCTGATACCCACCCCCATTCACCCATAAAACATGTCAGAGGCTAGCACTTTGCTGTCCCTGGAAATTTCTCAGCATCTGTTGGCTGAGTTGAGCAGAGAGATTGGTCCCACTGAAGAGGTCTAGACATGCCTGGTACACACACAGAAGCCAGGGCTGGTACCTGCAGGACCAGCAGCAGTCAGAGGAGCAGAGCTGGTCAGGGACGGAGGTCCCTGAGATGCTTCCTGGAGAAACAGGAAGGGTTCTTGCAGACCACAAACGAAGCACTTTGTACAAATGGAGAAACTGAGTCCCAGGAATGAGAGGTTCCGCCTGGATTCACACAAGCCGTTCCCTCGTCCCTGGAAGGCCCTCCTGCTCTTCCTCTGGCTATTCCGGGTGCTGCCACCACCGCTCCGTGCTGTCCCATGGGCCAGTATGTTCATCTGTCCTCCTCCTGGCCTGGTATCATGATGTCCCTCGGTATCCCCCAGGGGACTGGTTTTTAGTGTCCCCACGGATGTGCTGGACATCCGTGGACACTAAAATTCAAGGGTGCTCAAGTCCCTCATAGGACTTGACACGGTATCTGCCTATAGCCTACACAAATCCTCCAAAATACTTTGAATTGTCTAGATTCTTGAAATAGCTAATACAATGTAAATGCTTTGTAAAGAGTTGTTAACGCTGTATTTTTATTTGATTATTTTGTTGTGGTATTCTGACTCTTTATTGTATTTTTCCAAATATTTTCAATCCACAGTTGGTTGGAACCGTGGATGCCCAGCCTACAGACATAGAGGGCTGAGTGTATTCCTATTCTGCAGGGAGACAGACTGAGGCGTCGCTAATGTAGGTCACACAGACAGCAAATGACAAGCAGAGAGATTCTGCATCAAGACTTCCTGCACCAAAGCCCTCAAAAGCACCAAGCACTGCATGAGTGAAAAGCATCTGTCAAAATTATTATAAACTCATGCCCGATTCGTATGTAACAAAAACAAAACCAACACAGCCTGGGTTTCTAAAGCAGCTTTCTCCTAAAAGCTCCACATGCTTTCAGCTCAGGATCTCCTTCCTCCTCATTTTCTGTTGGTCGTTTCTCTAACTGTTCTCTATAAGTGATTTCTTCCCAACACTCCTCTGAGAAAAGGAGGAAATGAGCAAAGTCAAATTGTATTACAGTCAGCCCCCAGGGAAGAGTGGGAGATTCTGCTTCACTGGACTTTGGTGTTTGAAAATATCACTCGACAAAGCCAGGCGTGGTGGCTCACGCCTGTAATCCAAGCACTTTGGAGGCCAAGGTGGGCGGATCACCTGAGGTCAGGAGTTCAAGACCAGCCTGACCAACATGGTGAAACCCTATCTTTAAAAAAATAAATAAATAAATAGAAAACATTACTCGACAGAAAAATGGGAAGCAATGGAAGTGATCATCAGCGGGATGGGATCAGCTGTGACACCACAGCCACAGGAGTGGCCATGAGGGAATCATTTAAAACAATCGTTACCGAGACTGTAGCAACAGGAAAATAATGCTTATAATTATGAAGGAAAGGAAAAGATAGGAAATTCTTCTTACAAGCACATGAAAATAAATTAAAAGCTCATGATCAATGTCTTGAAAGAACAATGCCTAAAAGGGAGTAGATGTGTCAGGGTCTAGGTATTAAGGCTGACTTCTTTCCCCCCTTAATTTCCTAAATATTCTGTAATATGACATAATGCCTTCATAAAAAGAATCACAGCTCTGTTTTTTTAGAGGTGATTCTTTATCAGATCACTAGATTAGAAAGACATTTCTAAACACAAATGCGTTGGAGAATATATTGAAATTTTAAAATGTTTGCTTTGAGGCACATAAAAATTCAAATTCTTGAACTTCAAAAAATACCAAAACACATAGGATAAAAGTTTGGGAGAAAATGCTCTAAAAATGTTAGTACAAGTTCAAGGGGTAGAGTATAGATTTTTACTTTTTTCTGTATAATTTTCTATAGTGTTACATTTTTTTTTACCGTGATAGCTTGATATTCTAATTATCAGGAAAAGAGTTATTCCCATTTTGAAAATAAGTTTGACATAAAAATTAAACTATAAGAAACTAGGGAAAATTTTTTTGACAATAAGATAGAACTCTTACAAATTCATAAGAAGAACATAAAGACCTCAATATATAATGGACAATTTACAAAATTGGATATTCAAATAATCAATAAATAGGTTTTCGAAGGTCAGTCTTACCAGAAAAAAAATAAAAGTTCATTAACTCAATGAAATAGCATTTCCGTTTTCACTTTCATCAAATCAACAAAATTATTTTTTAAAATCATGTTACTTAATAAAACCAGAGAGACAGAAACTCTCACATTCTACTTCTGAGAGTGTAGACACATAACAGAATTTCTAGAGAGTAACCTTGTAATAGAATAAGAATAACCAAAATATTCGTATCCTTCCACCCTATAACTCCAAGTCTAGGATATAATTCAAAAATTTAGCAAAGCTTTAACAACCACGCACATGTCTGTCACATTATTTATAATAATGCAAAACTGAACACATGCTAAATATTACCACCTGAATGCTGAATGATTAACTAAACTATGGTATGGCCATATATGAAATGTTTACCAAAATAATATGCTCTTGAAGTTTTTCATGATGGAGAAATGTGATGTTAACAGAATAATACAGGATATTAAATGATATAAACAGTATCATGCCAGCCACTATGCAAAACGTGATTGACATCTCTGGATGGAGCAATTCAGGGTGGGATTTTTTTCTCCTACTTCTTATTTTTTTATTTTCCAAATTGTGTACTTATACTCTCTTTGTCATAGAAAGAAGTGCTATTAAAAATACAAATTGAAATGAGGACACTGTCCCCAGGGGTAGTAGTTGGGGGACCCCAGTGTGGCAGAATAGAAAGATAAAGCACAGAGTCGGAGGGTGAGTGCTGTGCATCGAAATGGATGGCGAAGCCATGTTTCTGTGTGTTTGCTTGTTTGTTTTAAATGGACTTTAATTTTTACAGCAGCTTTAGGTTCACAGCAAAAGCGAGCAGAAGGTACGGAGGTTCCCCATACCCTCTGCCCCACACGTGCATAGCCACCCTCACTGCCGACATCCCCAGCACGGTGGGACATTCGTTACACCTGAGGCACCTCTGTGGCCGCATCATTAACCCCCATAGTTCATAGTTTACGTGAGAGCTCACTCTTGGTTTGTACGTTCTGTGGGTCTGGGCAATGGTACGTGTCTACCATTATAGTATCATATTGAATAGTTCCACTGCCCTAAGAATCCTCTGTGCTCTGCCTGTTCATCCTCTACCTCCATCCCCCAGCCCCTGGCAACCGCTGGTCATTTTTCCTGTCTCCATAGCTTAGCATTGTAAAACCGGAATGCCATATCATTGGAACCATACAATTGTAGCCTTTTCAGACTGGCTTCTCTCACTTAGCACTATGTGTTTAAGTTTCCTCCATGTCTCTTCATGGCTTGATAGTTCATTTCCTTTGGCTCTGAGTAATGTTCCATTTTCTGGATGCCCCAGTTTATTTACCCACTCACCTATTGCAGAACATCTTGGTTGCTTCTAAGTTCAAGCACTTATGAATAAAGCTGCTTAGGCCAGGCACGGTGGCTCACGCCTGCTATCCCAGCACACTGGGAGGCCGAGGAGGTGGGTGGATGATGAGGTCAGGAGTTCGAGACCAGCTTGACCAACATGGCAAAACCCTGTCTCTACTAAAAATACAAAAATTAGCCAGATGTGGTGGCACGCGCCTGTAATCCCAGCTACTCAGGAGGCTGAGGCAGGAGAATCGCCTGAACCTGGGAGGCAGAGTTTGCAGTAAGCCTAGTTCATGGCACTACACTCCAGCCTGGGCAACAGAGTGAGAC